TGCAGGTGATGGACCGACCGTTTAAAAAAAGCAGAGAAATCTATTTCCTTGATGCAGGTAATTAGAGACTGGTACTTAGCAGCTAGTCCTAATGAGCGTGAGTATCTGTTTGAAGTGCCCTTTCTCTGCGTACACAACTGACTTTTTTTTTCTTTTTTTTTTTTTTCTTTTCGCCTGGAGCAGCACCTTTAGATGTTACCTTAATAAAAAAAAAATGATGTTTTTCATGTATTGTGAAAACTCCAGTGACTGCCTTATTTGTTTTGCTGGGCTGGATGCCTCGCCCACCTCTCGCTGTGTGGCCAAGGGTGAGAGTCTTCGATGGGTATTGCTCATGACATGGCAAATGCCTCTAAGGAAAAGAGATGTGTTACTCACCTGCATAGCAGCTTATAAACAGGTATTACTGCTTGAAGAGGGCGCGTTGAAATGGCAAAGTGAAGCGAAACATTCAGATTGTACAGACAGAGGCCAGTCTGTAGGCTGTATCAGATGCCACCAACGCTTGCAGCCCTCAACTTTGGATGTGCTGTTGCCCCGTGCATCAAAGAAGTAATCCTGGTTGTTGTTCTGGGTCTTTGTTCTAGTTGGACTTCCACACCTTGATGATTTTGTAAGTGTCCCTGATGGATGGAGGCTGTAGCAAAGGTCATGGTGTTAGTTTTCCAGGCTGTGGGTCATCTTGGAAAGCTCCCCTGAGTGAAGAAAGAAAAGTACTGCAGACCCATGGGGGCGAAGATTGAGGAGTTGCATCTTTAAGTGCCTCGTGCCTAGTTTTGAGCCGCAGCAGTGGCGCGTGGTGGGAGCAGCATTTTTGGCCGTGTTGAAGCCTGGTCCCTGTTGCACGCCCCGTGTTGCTGGATGAGCACGAGCACGTTGTGTGCTGGCACACGAGCACGTTGTGTGCTGGCACACGAGCACGCTGTGTGCTGGCACACGAGCACGCTGTGTGCTGGCACACGTGCATCGCGTGAGCCGTGTTTGCGGCGGGGAGGAGAGCGCTGACGCGCGTCGCGGCAGCACAACAGCCATGGTGGCAGCCCCAAGGTGCACAGGAGCCACGTGAGCCCCAGGAGGAGATGTGACACCATTGCAACGCTGCAGCGGGGCCAGTATTCACCCATAACATCTCATTTTATCCAGGCTTTATTTTCGTAGTAATTTTATTCTGTGCTGATGCTGCTAAAATTGACTGTATTTCGAGCAGCTGCGTTGCATACCGCACCTGCACAAAGGCCAAATGTTTCAGTATTTTTTTTTTTTTCATTCCATGCTGAATACAAACAAGTCCTGCCTGGTTTTAACCATTTCTGTTCACTGAGCAGCCTGTTTGCTACCAGCTGCTCTGTTGGGTTCATCTGTGTTTCTGTGCTGGCACCAGCAGTTGATTAACTTCTACGCTAAAGAAGGGAAAGTCTCCGCAGCCTTTTTTCCTGAAGGCTTTTATTCCTAAAGTTAGAAAAAAACTGATTTTTTCCACCAGAAGAACAGTAAAAGAGGTACGTTACTGCAAATGCAGGAGCTCGAGTGGCCTTGCTGTCTTGCTTGGAAGCCAGCAGCTTTCATTTTGTTTTATTTTATTAATATAATACAACTCCAGATGTTTTCTTGTGCCATGGAGAACCAACCTGGCCAATTTCATGTGTCAGTACATCAGGTGTTAGGGCAAATTCTTGGGAAACTCTGGAAAAACATGACCTGGCAGAGCAGCTGCAATAGCAGTAAATGGTGTTGGTTATGTATTTTATCACTAGGTTCAGTGTCTTTTGGAGAGTGATGGTACTTTTAAAAAGACAAGCCAGAGGGAGGAATAAACCACTTGGGATGCTACATAAAAGGGCAATTTGTGATGGGACCTGTAGCCCATAGAGACTGTGGGCTCGCAGGTGGGTTGGTCTCTATCTCCTCCAGGCACACCTCAATAGCTGATACGGAGAAGTTATGAAAGAGATCAAAATTGATATCGAGAGGTCATAATTATGAATCTTAGATAGAAAAGAAGGGGTTACAAAATATTATCTAGTAGCAATGCTGGCTGGATGCCAAGTGATCCATAATTCCTCTTTTTTTTCAGCTTTATTGGCTTTATTCTACTGAAGAGTCTCTACCAGCCTGTTTGTAGCTGGCATGAGTTTTGTGTGTTGTGTCCTACTGATGCCCAGCGTGGGACGTTCGCTGCTGGAGCTCAGCAAGCGGTTGTCTGCAAAGATGATCCAAGCAGAGGTGAAATTTCTCACCTACTTTAACCAGAGATAAACGTGATAAATCACTGCCATGGGTTCCCAGCAGCCCTGGGAACCGCTGCCATGGGTTTATCCAGCATACTCCTGGTTTTGGCACTTAGTCTTCCTTCCTCGCTTCGGAGCTGGCACCAATTTTTCTCCGTTGGGTTCGTGTGCCCGGTGGCCTGTGCTGCAAAAAGAGCTTATCACACACCCGAGGGAAGTCTAAAGGTGTGAGACGGGCGGGCTGGCAGCCCTGTGCCCAGATCCTGCCAGCTGGCTGCCCGCGGGAGAGTCACGGTGGCTTTGCCAAGGCGTGCGGAGGGCACGCAGCCATGACTTAGCAAGTCCTCGGTGAGACGTGCAGGCTGCGTCCTCCCCACCCGGGATGAGTCACTGGGAACACTGGCTCCAGGTTTGTTGGCCACCTGGGTGAGGTTGTGCTGGTTCACGGTTCACGCTGGTGGTGTTTCTGCATTAACTGCCTGATAGCTGGAGTGGTGGGAAGTTCCTCTCGCTTTCCTGCTGGTTGATGCCCAAGAGAGCAGTGGAGCTGGTCAGGGGATGGATTAAGTACTTTATGAATCAATCCATGAAAAATATAAACACGGCTGGAAATCAGCTCATCAGTCCTCTCCTGCTAGAAGCGTCAAAAATTTGTGGTTTGTGCCAAAATGTTACATGTTTGACATGACTGAGTTTGGTTTTTTTTTTTTCCAAACCAAGTATCTTGAGCCTAGAAGGAATTAAGAGTCACCTGCCTGACAGTGGAGGAAAGTGATGGTGTGGTGTTGCAGCATGTTTGTATATTTGTTGAAAGTGTAAGGGTGGTGTATGGCAATCGTTTAGCCTCTGTTCTCATCTCCCACTGGTATAAACTGGAACTGAGTATCTTAAATTGAAACAGACTTTTACGGTGTTTCCTGGTGTCCAGAGAACTGCAAGGTGTAAATTTATTGTTGTGCTCATATACGTAGGATTTTGTGTGCCTGCATTCAGCTGTGTTCATGAAAGTCAGACAGACTCTGGGAAGTTTAGTTTGATCTTGTTTAAAACCACACTCCATTGCATAGTTAGAGCTTACCCCAATAGCTCTGATATTTTGGGAGCTTACATCAAATCCTGCAGTGAAAACTCTTTCCTTCCTGCAGACAGTGGCCAAGTTGCAGAGGTGCTGGGTTTGCTGTGTGCTGACGGTGCCCTGGGGAGTGGATCCTGGTGCTGGCAGATCTTTGCCTGGAGGGATGTAGTTTTCCTTAAAATGAGCTCCTCTTATTGCCCTGACCCCTTCTCTGCCTGGGAGGTCAAGCACATTAAACTGATTAATTACTGGAATATATCTAGTGGGTGCCACATTGTGCACGTGTGGTGGGAAGGACTGGGTATTTTGATAAGTCCACAATGACTTGTGCAAGCCTTTGGTGTGAATGGTTCATTTTTCGGGTAGAAAAAGGCATTTGGATGAGTCTGGTGCTCCATGCAAGGCTCAAAAGCTACGTGAGATGTTGCACTCTCAACTTCCCCGTCCAAAGTCCCGTGCCCTGTAGGTATCTGGTGGTCTGTGATAGTTCCGATGGCATCAGAGCTATGCCTGCAACCCAGCACCAGCCAAGACACGGGGCTTCAGTGGCTGCTCCCATCGTGGCTGGAGAAGGGTTTGCATCAGGCTCTCGGTGCCAGGATAACGCTTCCCACTCCTGAAAAGCATTTTCTCGTGTGCGAGTAGAAACGTCTGCTGTGCATTTGCTTGAATTTTGATATCCTGGTGCTGGTGCACCTGCATCCTTTTGTAAGCAAATTTGGTGTGTGCTTGGAGAGGGCACGGCTGCCTGTGCCTTCTGTTAATGAGCGAGTCCTCCTTAAAAAACATTTGTTTTGCAAAGCTTCAGGAGCTGAACAAACTCAACTTAGCGATGTCTACCAGCAATTGCTTTTAAACTCTTTATCCTCCTTTTCTTACTCCTTGGTCCCAGAAGTACTGCTGCACTTTGGAGCAGTGACTTACGGTTTGGCAGGGTTTGGGGATGAAGAGATGGTGTGAGCGTGACATCAGAAACGTGCTTTGCATTAGCGTGGTCAAAGTTTTAACCAGGTGCTGGGATATGTGTGAAAATACTGGTGTTGACATAATTGCATAGGGAATCAAATGACTTCTGCTATTTCCTGGTTTTAGGGTGCTTGATTTCACAACTTCAGTATTTTTAACGTAATTTGAGCGTAGGGGAACCATTCTGAGTACCTATATTTTAATAGCTCAGCAGTAGGCTGCTTGAGCAAGTTTCACAACTAATTGCCTGTGTTTTGTTGAGGAAATCTCAAATGCTTGAGTGAAGGCGTTGGTAAAATTAAATATATAGTATTAGAAGCTGATATTCAGCCAATGGCTGTTAATAGTTCTCCAGATAAATATTGAGCAGCAGAGGTTTGTTATTGCGACGTTACCAGGAATGGGCTTCCCAGTGCGGGGCTACGTGCTCCAGAGGTGAAGAGAAAGCAGCAGTGCTTCCTGCAGGGTTTCATCTCCTGCTGTCGCTGCAAGCCCTTGATGTTCTGGAGATGTTCAGAGAGTCCTTTGTGTTGTAGTTGAGGTGCATCACAACTGTGTATTATTCACTGTTACTTTGGTAGAGTCCAGAATAAATCCAGCATCCGTAATATAGGTGGCAACAAGGCGAGGGAGACGGAGGCATGTGAAGATGGAAGATTGTTCCATGATGCAAATGAACTGCCAATAAAAAAGCAGATTAGTACAAAAGCCTTTCTTCTCTGCCGCAACAGGGATGAGAAGAACCAGTCCATCATCGTGAGCGGGGAGTCAGGTGCTGGAAAAACTGTCTCTGCCAAACATGCCATGCACTTCTTCGCCACCGTCGGTGGTTCTGCCAGCGAGACCAATATTGAAGCCAAAGTCCTTGCGTCGAACCCAATTATGGAGGTAAAAGCTGCATAATTTCTTTTGTCCTGCTTGCAGTGGTCGCTGTGTCTCTCTAAACCAGTGAGGGCTGTAGGGACTTGTGAGCCAGACCTGATTTGCAGCCTCACAGCAGCCCTGAGCTGGTCTGAAAATACAGAAATGCGCTGATAAACCTGCATTTAGCCCACCCCAATTGCTCCTCTGTTTCTGGTCTTGAAGTGGGCCCTTGCATCCCCAGCATGACCCCAGGACCTGGGCTTTGGTGAGGATCTAGAGTGGGGAGCTTGAGAGGTGCTGCTGGCACCATTACTATTTTGTCATTGTCATCTTCCTCCTCCTTTGTCACCACATGGTGCCTCCTAATCTTCTTCTCTAATTGTATCAGCATGAAATAGAAGAGAGAGGGATTATTTAATCTATTTGAAGTATTTCAGTGCAGTTTTATTTTTGTTAGTTTTCTGTTGCCATCAGTCATACAGGGGAATAACAAGTCCCATTGAAGGGAAATCCCTACCCTATAGGAAAAAGTTTCCTTTTGCAAATAAAAAAGAAAGGGAAAGCTGTTTCATTTAATTGCACCATGACTGGATGGTGAAAACAAATGTCTGAGTGCCTAAATCCCATTTTCCGGACAGATTTTCGGAGTCCAAGTAACTTCATTTGCAAAATATCCAAGTCAGTGCGAGGACAAAATTTGGGCTTTTCTGAAGTTGGTTAAGCACTTCAGGCTTGTGTGACCTTTTTTTTTTTTTTTTTTCTCTTCCCAAAAGGCAGCAGCTAGCAATGCTGCTGTAGTGGGATGTAGCTTGTCCTGTACTTAACTTGTCCTTCGCTTAACCTTAGGCTTGGCTTGACCTACAGGGAGGCTTCCCATCACAGTGCCTTGTGGCCAAATTGTCTAACAGGCACGGAGGTTGTGGCTGATCCAGGGTGAAAACCAACCCTAGCCCAGCCCGAGAGTCAGCACAAGTGGCCTGGCATCATGCTGCCTGGTGTGGGGTGCAAGCTGGAACGGTGAAACAAGTGGTGGTGCAAATGAGCAGTAAGAAGAACGTCTGGCAGAGGACCCTCGGGGATCTGTCGCAGCGTGGACTTCATGCTGTTTTCCCCCTTCTCCTGTGCCTCTGTCAGATGTAGCTGCAATGCCTGGGAACACTTTTAAAAGCATCCAAGTAAAAATTCGTAGTGCCTGCTGTTCTTCTATATGACCCCATAATTTTATTGGTCTAATTTTCTTGCCTGTGTTCAGTTCTGGACATAATTTCTAAATGCTGGGGCCAAGGACCCTGTCGGTCTTTACTGGAAATCACTGAGAACGTTGCCCACGCAAAAACCATAAAAGAGAACTGCCTGGTTTGCAAAAAAAAAAAATCCAACGTGAAGGTGTGAAGATGGAGTAGAAGGATGTGCGTGTCATGAAATAGCCCTTAGCAACGAGATGCGCTGTGTTTGATGTATGGGACGTATGTCCCTGGAGCAGGTGTCTCTACTTTGAAGACAAGGACTTGAAGATGAGGTTGATGATGGTGAATCTGGGTTGTAAAACATCTAGTTGTAGTGTTTGCTGTATCAGTCTGTGAACCTCCTGTTTCCCTGGGGGACTGGGCGATGGGCTCTGGGCAGAAGTAGAGACTGGGTACATTGCCTCTGCCCCACTGCTCTTATGCGTGGTCTGGGATGTGTGCTGGAGGGTTGGAGGTGGGAAGTGAGGGCTGTGGGTCTGGGAGCACCGTAAGCAATGGGGAAGGGTGAGCTGTGTTAAAGGGGTAAATAAATGGGCCTTGGGGGAAGGAGGTGCGTTAGCGAGCAGAGGAGTTGGGGTGGTGGTGGATGGATGGGGTGGGAGAGGACAAGGCTTGCTGAGGTCATCTGCAAGGAGAGCCTGGGAAAGGCATCCAGCCTTCGAGAGGTGCACAGGGGCTCTTCCCTGTATGTGCCTATTCCCTTCCATTGGTGTTTCTGTCCTTGCTTGAGGCTCATCATCTCAGGGCAGTGGAAGGGTAGTAGAAAATAAGGCTAGTATAGCCCTGAATGGGAATATTGTTTTTTCTCTAGCCCTTTTGCATCACTACGAGTTGCTCCTTTGGCTGCTTGATGGATTCCCAAGTTTACAAGTGCTGCAGCCCTGCAGCACAGGGATGGATCCTCTCTTCTCCCTTCTGCCACTGCGTGTGGCAACATTACCTGCCCAGGAGGTGACACACAGGTGCTGGAGAGGCACAGAGAGGCTCTGGCTGTGTCACTAAATCCAGAGACTGAAGCCTGAACATCTGGAGATGGATTGCAACTGGTTCCCTCCCTCTCGCAATGCTTCGTTGCCCTTGTCTCCTCTAGGAAAGATGCCAATGTTGACTGTTCATGAGCAGAAGTGGGGGAACCCTATAAGAAAAAACAGGAGTGCTGTGGCTGTTGGGATGTGGAGGATCTAATTACTGTACAAATACTTTTGGCTGCTTATATGTGTTTTTCTTCCATAAAAAATTCTGGAGACATCACATTTGCAGTGAAGGGTCCTCCCCAAAGTCACGTTGTTGCTTTGTCTTCTGCATCTGGGAAGGGATTTTCCTCAAATCCTCCCTCTCTATGTCCTACACTCCCTACATGACTGTTTATGTGACACCGATTACAAACGTAAATGTTTAAAACATGTTAAGAATTAAAATAAAAATTAATGTTAAATCTTGTTTTATGCAGGCAATTGGAAATGCTAAAACAACAAGGAATTACAACAGCAGTCGCTTTGGGAAATACATTGAGATTGGCTTTGATAAAAGATACCATATCATTGGTGCCAACATGAGGACGTATCTGTTGGAAAAGTCACGAGTTGCGTTCCAGGTAGAGAGTCGTGTGTTTTATTTTCCCTTCTTTTCTGTCTTTTGAATGCTGTGCTCCAGGAATTGAATAGCCTGGATCTTTTCTTTGGATTAAAAAAACTGCTCTAAAAGTAGATTTTGGTGACATGGACAGCAGGATCAAGTGCACCCTCAGCAAGATTGCTGATGACACCAAGCTGTGTGGTGTTGTGGACACGCTGGAGGGAAGGGATGCCATCCAGAGGGACCTGGACAGGCTGGAGAGGTGGGCCTGTGAGAACCTCATGAAGTTCAACAAGGCCAAGTGCAAGGTCCTGCACGTGGGTCGGGGCAATCCCAAGCACAAGTACAGGCTGGGCGGAGAATGGATTGAGAGCAGCCCTGAGGAAAAGGACTTGGGAGTGCTGGTGGATGAGAAGCTCACCATGAGCCGGCACCGTGCGCTGGCAGCCCAGAAAGCCAACCGTGTCCTGGGCTGCATCCAGAGCAGCGTGGGCAGCAGGGTGAGGGAGGGGATTCTGTCCCTCTGCTCTGCTCTCCTGAGACCCCACCTGGAATACTGCCTTCAGCTCTGGGGTACCCAGCACAAGAAGGACACGGAGCTGTTGGAGCGGGTCCAGAGGAGGCCACGAAGATGATCCGAGGGCTGGAGCACCTCTGCTCTGGAGACAGACTGGGAGAGTTGGGGCTGTTCAGCCTGGAGAAGAGACGGCTCCGGGGAGACCTTCCAGCACCTTCCAGTACCTAAACGGGCTACAAGAAAGCTGGAGAGGGAATTTTTCCAAGGGCATATAGTGACAGGACACGGGGCAATGGATTTAAACTGAAAGAGGGGAGATTTCCATTAGATCTAAGGAAGAAATTATTTACAATGAGGGTGGTGAGTCACCGGACCAGGTTGCCCAGAGAAGCTGTGGCTGCCCCATCCCTGGCAGTGTTCAAGGCCAGGTTGGATGAGGCTTTGGGCACCCTGGTGTAGTGGAGGGTGTCCCTGCCCATGGCAGGGGGGTTGGAACTAGATGATCTTAAAGGTCCCTTCCAACCCAAACCATCCTATGATCCTATGATTTCGTGGTGAACACACACAGATGTGTCTTTCAGACTCAGTCTTTTGCAGTTGTTCTTGATGGTCCTAACCTGGTGACTTCCTTCTGGAGGAATATGTACCTGGGAGACTCATTAGTTGCCTTCTGGTTGTTTCGTCCATCTGCTTGAAGCTGGAGCCCTGAGGAAGGACCACTGCTCTTGACCAGGCTGCTGGGCAGGGATGGAAGCTTCTGAGATTTTTGAGAACCTCATAAAAAGCCAGGAAGAATAAATTGCAGGCAACAGCCTTAAACTTTGAGATGTTAAATTTTGAAGATGGAAGGGGAGGCAGGAGAAAGACTGAGGAGGCTGATGTCTTTGCTGTGGCATATTCCCTGTTTTTTTTGTGCAGGGCTCAGGGCAACCTCTCTTGGACTTGATATCTTGGGTTCTTGATATCTAGCTCAGAAGTAACTGCAAAACTTTTGTCCTTACACAAAAAAAGACCAAACTATGAAAATCCTGAAACCAAACAATGTTGGGAAACCACAAGTGTAGGTCACCTCTTTTAATGTTGCTGTCAGTTTGCAATGTGGTCCTTGCTAGCTAACTTAGCCCAGTTATCCCAGAGAGGGGTAAGGCGTGGAGGGTGGTATGAAGTTATTTATTTCCTTTGCAAGATGGACAGCGTGCTTTGGTCAGGGCAAGGCTTGCCACCTCCTTTTTCCCAGGTGGCACAAGACTCCTGTCGTCTTGGTGACGCGGAGTCTGGATGGTGGGTAGCAGGGGAATGGGATCAGGGTGGCTCCAGGCTCAGCCGGAACCGGGCTGAGGGTGGGAGCACTGCTGTAACCTCTCCGTGCCTGGTAACTCAACGTTTTCTGCATAGGCAGAGGACGAGCGCAACTACCACATCTTCTACCAGCTCTGTGCCTCAGCGACTCTTTCGGAATTCAAAGACCTTGGACTAAGTAAGTAACTTCTACCTCCCTGCGTGCTGATGGCAGCTGCCTGGGTGTGATGACAACAGGAAGACGTTGTGAGATTAGAAAGGCAGGTCATCAATGCAGTTGTGTGTGCCTGTTCAGTGGGAGGAGGTGAAGGGGGATGAGCTTGAAGGGCTGCTTCTCCCCAGTGATGCACAGGTTTGCTCATGCCATCTCCAGGAATGTGGCACCTTGGATGGGATAACAGCCCTGGTCATCCCTGCTGTGCAGGAGCTTAGTGCATGAAGTTTGCGGTGCGCTGGTCGGTGCTGTCAGGCTCCTGCAAGTGCTGCTGGTGGGTGGGAGCTGTTGCTGGATGTTAGCCACGGTGGGAGAAGTGTTTTGTAGAAACTGCCCGCAGAACCGCAGCGAAACCACACGCTGTGGTAGATGCCAGCTGATGCAGAGATCATATGTTAATTTGTATGAAACTAGCGTAAGGATGTGTGTTTTAAATCACGTGTGAGTATGGGTCAATCTGGCCAGAGTCTTGGCAGGAGCAGTTGTGTCTTTTGAATCTATTTTTTCAGTGGTTAACTCCTGGGATGTATCCCGAGTTGTTTTTCTTCCCCAAGATTTGCAGCAAAACCTTTGTAAGACACCTGAATTAGAGGGTTTGCACTTGCAGTAGGGGGTGCAGAGATGTCTTGTGATTATCTTGAGTATTTGCTTTGTATTTAAGCCTGAAACGAGGCTTATAAGATGCTTTTAAGCATTTAAAAGGGCAAGCAAGGCAGGTTGTGATCCCAACGCAGGGCGTTTTGACCCTGCAGAGTCTTGCAGAGTTTTCCATCATGGCTACAGAGCAGTGGTAGGTCAAGAGAGAGCCTTTCAGTTTCTGGGTAATTCTGAGCTTGTCTTAATGACTTTTTGGGTCACTGCAGGCACGTTGGCCACGCTTACCGAGTGCTGGTGCTGCAGTGTGAGCACTTCTGTTCTTGTCCTCTTGTCACTGGTAAACCTTGGTGCATTACCCAGGTGTAGTCCGTACTCTGCCCAGTGACACCAAACCAGACAACCACGTCCGTGAGTTTGGTGCGGCGTAAGATAACTTCTGAGGCTGTCTAGTTGTAACCCTAACGTCTATCCCAGGATACCTGGGTGGGAGGTGAAAGTTTTGCATGATTCACTGAGTGCTGGCTCCGTAGGTCAAGCCTTGTGCTGGATCTGGGGCTCCTTTTGGTATCTAAGGGTCCCAAAATGATGTTCTTCTGAAAGTGGCTTCCCAGCTACCATTGACGAGCCCATGCTTGGTCCCCTTGCCTGCCCATACGACCCCAGAGCACATCTCTTTGATCACTTTAAAGAGTTTCTGCCATGGGCTCATACACTTCATTTTTGCAAAGATACCCAAAGTAATACTGTTGTCTGCTGGCATCTTAAAATTCAGACATAAATTATTTCAACCCAGTGTGGGAGATGAGTTGATGTGGGAGAGCTCCAGCTGTGAAACCACCTTTCTCCTCTTGGGAGTGTCTAGATCAGAGGAAGTCTCAGTCTTTTTCAAGACGACTCTCTAAAAGCATCATCTGTATTTGTGGTGACTGGTAACGGTGAAGGCTGAGAGCTCCCTGCTCTTCTGGTGTATCATCCAGGACATCTTTACCCTGTTGGGACTCCTGACTTCAGTGTCTCAAGGGAAAATGTTTAATGGCAACAGCTGGCAGCATAGGAGGTAGTGGGTGCCTTGGGCATGTATCTTAATGGTTTTGGCCTCAGATAAGCCCGTGTTTTAAGGAGGAGCGATCACATGTGAAGCTTTTTAAAGTGGGTGTAAATCCTTCGATCTCTTTGTGTTGTATCTGCGTTTGAATGCCCCTCAGTCTCTAGGATTTAGCTTTGTGTTGTCCTGAAATAACTTTGCTGAAGCACAATGTTAAAATGCTGGCACTTGCGGGTGATTCCCCATTCCCTTTGCTCCCCAGGTTTAAGGCATTATATGAGAAAGGTGTTAGGGTATCTTTGCCTATCACGGGTATGCAAAACAGGATAAAAAAAGCCTGAAAGTAGTAACCTTGGTATCTGAAATAGTCTGCATCCATGCAGTAGAGCGTTTATTTGAAACTTGAATATACCACAGCTCTGCCCTGGTTGAACTCGCTTTGCATGGAGAAGGGATTTCTTCTCTTCGAGAAGCAGTTACAGTCCCTTATCAAGGTTACACTTCATCCATACCATAGAATCATATGTATACTTAAAGGAGATGAGTGCCCTTCAGGGGTGGGCAGGACTGGGGGACAGGGAGCATCCCAGTGCATGGTCCGGAAATCTACTGCTTGCTGATACATTTCTTCTGTTTCTTCTCTCCTAGCGTGTGCCAAAGACTTTTTCTACACTTCTCAGGGAGGTGACACGTCTATCAATGGCGTGGACGATGCTGATGACCTTGAGAAAACCAGGCACGCCTTCACCCTGCTTGGTAAGGAGTTGCTCTGCTTGGAGGCTTCCCAGCAGAAGTCCCTTGCAAAAGTTTTTCAGTATTTTGCCTGAATTATGTGGCTTTCCTGTGACATTAAGAGGTGTAAGTCCATCTTCCTGTGGACCTAGTTGGCTTTACCTTGTTCCTCAATGTGAGCTGCAGAAGTGTTTCTCACAGGTGTCTGCAAAGCAGCAGTGAAATGGAGGAGAATGCTGAATTTAAGAGAAACCTAAATAAACCATTTTGGAGCCAAAGCTGTGCTGAAGCTTTGCCGTGCTATTTTTTTACCCTGTTTACAGGCAGGAAAAGAGCTATTACTCTACAGTTCAACCCGTTTTTGGGTTGAGAGTGATGTCAGTTCTCGGACTATCACAGTATGGTACGGAGTAGCTGATTCCAGGGAATAACAAGCTGAGCAGGTCCCTGCTGTGCAGAGTCCACGTTTGCATGGCCAGCTGCAAAATCTACTGCTGTGACCACCACCCGTGCGCGCCGCGGTTGCACGGTGCCGTGGCCTGCCTGCAGCAACGACTGTTTGAAAGGAAAAACTATTTTTTCAAGGGAAAACTTTCACAGAGAGTTTATTAACATTTATCTGAAGCCAAATTTTTAAATCCCTGTAAGTTTTGGTGCCTCTCCGTTGCCTTCCATATGTTGGCAGAGGAGCTCGTCGCAGCCAGCTGTGGAATCCCTCCGAGCAGCTGTATTGTAGCTGCTGTGCTGTGCTGGCAGCGAGCGTGGGGACTCATTGCAAACGTTGCAACTGCAGGTGTTTCCCCCCAATTTGTCCTTTTTGTGTTTTAGATGGCCTGGATCTTTTTCTTTGAGGTGACAGCAGGGTCTTGTCTTTACTCTGTTTTTGCAAATTCTATCTGTTAACTACTTAAAAACCAAAAAACCCCAAACAACTATGCCTCTGCTTCAAACTTGCCCATGGGGCTATAATCCACAGAAGCCTCTTTCCCCATCCCCTTGCCACTTGCAGTCTCGCTTTGGTCCTCTTCTCTGTCTCCCCAGAGAGACCCCTCCATCTCCTTGCTGGTCCCTGTGAAGCACTGTGCAAGCATCTTCCTCTGCTGCCAACTTCTCCTGCTCTTCAGATGCTTCCTCTGGCTCTGCCTTTCCGCATTCTCCTTCAGTGTTTCCCAGCTCTGTCTGCTTCTGTTCAAGGCCCAGTGAAATGCCTACTACACTTTCTAGTCTTGCCTTTTTACGTGTAACAAGACTTCAGATTTATCTGCAAATCCCCACCCTAGGCAGGCTTAACTCCAATTAAGAGTGCCAAGTAACAGCAGAGCATTGCTCCTTTTAGTAACCTTGAAACGTTTCTCACTGTGCTGATAACAGAAAAGTCCCGAGAGGGAGAAAGGAAAGCTCTTGATAATTCAAAAACCAGCAGGTGATGTCTCAGGCCTTGGTTAGGTAATTAGAACACCAGCACTGAACACAAAGGGGGCACAGGAAAACCAACTGGGATGTAAAAAATGCAAGAATTGGCAAGAAATCTGTGTGCAGGCTGCTGCTGAGCAAAGCCCCTGCTGGGAATGCCTGCCAGAAAAATAGATAAAGCAGTAACATCTTACACCCCCAGTGAAGACCTGCAACACATAGCTCCTGTTGAGACACCGGGGACAGTAAGACAGAGCTTCACATCACCTCCCTGGTGACTTGCTGTAGCACCAGTCTGGAGGCATCGTGCATCATGTGCACAGCTTTAATTTTCTCTTCCTTTTTTGTGACACCAGCAATAAGCTGTAATTTCTGTGCTTCAGTTGTCAGCGATATCTCACTGTTGGACTGCGATCAGAGAGAAGCAACCCCTTGTTCTGTAAAAGCTGCAGAGCCCCCGTAGCTCTCTGATCCTGTTCCATCATTACGGAGGAGCATCCTTGGGTTTATGCACGTTTGCAGTAGTATTAAACCCATCTGTGATGAAATTTGCTTTGATGCAATCATTAGAGGTAAAGAAATAACATGAGGAGCTCCTCTCGCCACCTCGGCTGTCGTTTTTGAGCGATGATTTTTGATGGTGAGTTTACTGGGAGAGGGCTGATAACTCTGAAAACCAGCAGCCCGGGAAGGAAACCAAACACCGCGAGCGTTCTCAAGCGAACTGAAAATTGCCCTTTGTTTTCTGTTGTGAAAATCAGCTATCAATTGTTCCCCTAGGAGTGAAGGAGTCTCATCAGATGACCGTTTTTAGGATAATTGCTGCCATTCTGCACCTAGGAAATGTGGAAATCGAAGTGCAACGAGATGGCGATACCTGTAGCATACCGGTAGGTCACCAGCAAGAGTGGGGCACATGGGGGAGCTTTGTATGCTTATAAATCAGACCACATCAGCTGTTCTGAGCTTCACAGCAGTATCTTTTGGTAGAAAGCCCTTTTCCTTCTGTTTTTCTGTGCTTTTTTTTTGAAAATACATCATAACTTCGTGGTTGCATTGTTTTCCTGGAAGACAGTGCATTATTTCTCCTCTCTAGCCAGCCCATAAGCGAGGTGATTCAAAGGTCTTTTACCACCTGAAGTCCCAACCCATCTTTAAGTTTTCCTGCTTTCTTAAAAGACTTGATGCACAGAGTATTGGGGGAACAGTGACTCCCACCAGCAGAAGGTGTGATGCTCTACAACTGCTTTGCTACAGGCAAAGCCACGAGGCAGCTGCTTGTAATGTGGCCATCCAGTATTCAAAGGAGCACTCCACAGTTAATTAGCAGGAATAAATAAGACTAAAGACGCCTTAGTGGTGTGTTTTTTTCTGTGTTTGTTCAGGGAGGGGGAAAAAAAAAAGTGATTACGTGGAAAAATACTGTCCTGTCAATTATCATTTGCATCTCAGACTGGATTGTTTGTTCCTAATTAAAGTATTAAAATGGGTTGTGTACACACTTTTAGTGATACCCTTGAGATACTGTGTTGTGCAGTTAGTTGGATGCTGGGGGTAATTTGCTTGGTATTTGGCAACATGGATATGTAAAAGTGGTCTGCCTCGACAGTGTTGAGTTCTGTAATGGAGTTCATGTCGTTTAATTACCTTCAGATGTAATTGCATGGTGTTAAATCAATCCTGTTACGACTTTGAATCCATGGTCATGGAAAAAGCATCCTAGAGGTCTTTTAAAATGCAATTTTTTCTCCATCCCCAAACCCATCCAGCTTCTAAACAAGCATGTATCTGACTGGAAATGGTTTACTTCCTTTTAAATATGTATTGCTACTCTGGGGAAAGGGAAATTGATTTCTCATTGTCTAAAAGGCAATATCTTAGCATAATAGAGACTCAGAACTGCCTTGTCTTAGTCTGAGGAGGAAAGTGCAATGCACTAGAGAAAATTAAGTTCACGTTTCATTTTATTGATTGTGCAAAACGCAGCCCCTTCTGGTAGTGCACATTTTGCAGCTTTGTTATTCAAAATGGATTGCATTTTTTGTAAAAGGCATGGTGTAATGGCATACCCCAAGCTTTGACTTGAGGCTTAATCAAGGTTGATCTGAAGAAGCGTGTAGCTGTGCCTCAAGGAGGAGTAGAGTGGAGAGCACTCTTGCCTGTTGGCAGCCACTGTGGAAATCCACTCTTTTTGAAGTTCAAGACCTTAAGGGCAGCCAGAGCAGAGGAAAGCCATAGTGTGTACCACCATTCAGAGCTCCGTGTGAGCTATTTCATCTGTGTCCATGAAGACTGGTGCAACTGGATGAGTGCGTATTGCTTTTCTGTTTCCTGTCAACCACAGAGAAACACAGTGTTTCCTTAGGTAATTACGAAATGCTGCTAATTTCTTGCACAGATGTGGGAACTCGGTGTTAAAAGTCCGGTTTTGGAATGCCACCACCTGCTGACTTTTGCTTCTCGTTACCTCCAGAACGAGGACGAGCACTTGAACAACTTCTGCGACTTGCTGGGCGTGGAGCACAGCCAGATGCAGCACTGGCTTTGCCATTGCAAGCTCGTCACCACATCCGAGACCTACGTGAAGAACATGTCCTTCCAGCAAGTGGTGAACGCCAGGAACGCCCTGGCCAAGCACATCTACGCCCAGCTCTTCAGCTGGATCGTGCAGCACATCAACAAGGCCCTGCACACCACCGTCAAGCAGCACTCCTTCATCGGCGTGCTCGACATCTACGGGTAGGCGTGCTTTCTGCTTTTAAGGCTGTTTAATTAGTCCTTTCTGATTTGTCTCGCCCTTCACGGCAGCACACGTTTGACCTTGGCTTGTGGCAGGGCATGGGAATAGTAGAAAAGGATGCAAAAAAAGTGCGATTGTGGTACCCAGGCTGGAAAATGATAGAGCTTTGAGATGGAGCCGTGTGGATGATAGTGGGTCAGTGCAGAAAATTGGATGTCTGAGTTAGAAAATCAGACGCAGATTTTCAGAAATCTGAATAAAAGGAGGCTTGAGGATAATGCTCATGAAAGATTAAGTTGGGCTTGAAAACCTGTTAGTGTGGAAGAAAAACCTGCCTTAGCTGCAGGTCTCCTGTGCATCCTGTCCAGTGCATGGGCCAGCAGATACCTTTACAGCACTGGTGTCACCGCAGAGCACAGTGGGCTCTTCTTTTTCCTGCAGGTCTTATCAAAAGAAGAAGGTTTGCAGAGAAAGGGTGTCCATGCTCTGGGCCATTAACACTTGTGTGTGAATCCAGTATCCTAAAGAGATGGTAAATCCTTTTCAGAATAGGGTATTTCTTTCTAAATGCTGAGTAATTAACAATGCAGGTACCTTGGGTGCTGGCAACTTGAGTCTCTGCGGTCCTTGAAAGTAGTTTGATTCCCCAAACTCAGGTTATTTGGGAGCTTTAATGCGTTCTGCCAAATATGGGTTTTTATTTTTTTTTTTTTCAAAATGTCTGTTGTTCTTCCTTTCCCTCCTGGGGAAGAATTAAGCTAGAAAGGCAGGAAGCCTGCACACAGCCTCCACTGCATGTCCGTCGCATCCCAAGGGCACCTCTGTCCCAGCGCTCCTGGGGGAGGACTGTCCCCATGGGTGGGATTTCTAGGGATGAGGTCCGGACTGAGGGTGCAGAGGCTGTGAGGTTTGCCTCCTAATTCTGTAACGCTCAACCCTGCATCCTTAATCCTGTTAGGATTAGGGTGAGAGGGTGCAGCATTGAAAACCTTTATGTGTTTGTTGAAAGTGCCCCGTTTGCTGCAGTCGTGGTACCACAGTCCATCCAGAGAGTGGATTTATGTGGCTGGCTTGTTTTTCCTCTGCTTGCCATGTGAAGGGAAGTCTGAGCACCCAGGCAGCCAGCTGCATGCTGGACTTATTTATGAACTTTAAATATTTCAGTGTAAACCCCCGGTACTGCAGCAGATTTAGGAGATAGCTGTCACACACGCGGAGCAAGGAACAGGAGAAAAGCCAAAATGCCGTGTCTGCCCCTCGATACCTGCTCGTGACAGCTGTCCCCAGGCTGGGATGTGCCTTCCTGGGAGCCATGGTGATGGATCGAAGTGGTGACTGCATATTTTTTTGCACCAGGATATCGGCACTGAAATGAATAGAAACAAAACAGCTGTTGGTTCGCTTTTCCCATTAGGATGTCTTAATGCAATCACTTTGTGCGGGCGGGACTTCCTGGCGAGGGCACACATGGAGCTGGCAACCAAACTGCTCCATCAATTAACAAATTGCGCTGGCAGAGTCCCTTAATTAGCGACTTCACGAAATCTCCCTCGGAGTTGATGTTGTACAGCTGGTCTGCCCCCGGCCAGCGCTTGCTGAGAGGCTTCATAAATCACATCTGGTGTCTCTGAAGTGGAAAAAGAGCTCCCACTCCAATATCTTTTCCTCTTGTACCCCCACGCTCGTGTTTTTCCACCTAGCTCTCCCTGCCTCTCTGTTTTGCTTAAATTTTTTCTTGCCCTGTTGCTCTGATCATGAACCTGCAGGAGTTGGTGTTTCCACGGAGTAGACTCTAGTTGCAAGAGCTGAAGGCACTGATCTGCTTGGCGTGATGGCCATGCAACCAAGGTCAAGCACAGCAGGAGCTCTTCAAGGACATGCTTGTCATTGAGGCTCTGGCCACGTGTTTAATACAAACACTCGTTAATCTCAGGCACCAGATTTTTGTTGCACTGAAGATTGTAAAGCTCAGTTCATGGGATGGGGAGAGACTGAACATCCTCTGCTTGGCATGAGCTGTGCCAGCTCTGGAGGCGATGCCAGCCCTGGGGCAGGCAAAAAGAGCTGGTTCAGGGTTTCCTCAAGTCCTCTGGGGCTGATAAAAGCACAGAAGAGGCTCCTTTCTCCTGTTTTCCTTTTCCATTGCCTTTTCTTGGGCGCTGAGTTTTTTCTATAGCGAGTGCATTGTCACCTGGCAATACCTGGGGAAAAACTGCATCGTGTGGATAACAGCCAGGTAGTCCTCAGAAAGTACTAGAAATACTGATTTGGGGGCAAAAAAGAGCTTAATTTGTTTAGTGCCTTAAGACTATTCTGCCAGCTCCTACTGCACCTATTACCTGACCAATTATTTCGCTGTGCATTCGTCACGACGGCAGCTTATTCGCAAAGTGCAGGGAGTTTTGCCACTGCTTCTCTTAATTTAATCCTTGCAGTCATGTGTCAAAGTCTTCTTTTCCTCCCTCCTCCAACTGTGTTTTAAAAATGGAAGTATAAATAACGTAAATCCCCGTGGTAGCTGAAAAATGTCCTTTTTTTTAAGAGCAAGCCTGGATCCCTCTGCCTGTCCCTGGGCATTGCGTGCTTCAGCCCCAACTGCCGCAGGCGCTGCGCTGGCTTTCTGCTGCCTGCCAGTAGTTTGTGTTATTAAAACTGCGTATTTTTTCCTTTTCTAATTGTGACTAGGAAACCAGTTTTGAGCTCTGTTTGGAGTTGGCTGGTGGGATAATGTTTTGTCAAGGGGAGCTTTGGAAGCCCAGGTGAAGAGATCTCGGATCGCCGAGACCAACACCAAACTCCCTCTAAGGAACGTGTTGGAATTGGAGCTGAAAGCACCATTTCTCCCTCTGTTTCCAAGAACTCGCTTGCTCACGTGTATTTAATTTTTATGCTATCAAGGATTCAATACAGAGGCTATGATTATGAATTCAATACCTTCTTTTTCCGCTCTATTGAATTGCATTAAAAATACTGCGTTGGGTCTTTTAAGACAGCAGCTTCTGTTTCTCCATCACCTTTGCAGTGAATATATTTGGACTTAATATTTCATAATATTTTTCCCCAAGAGAGGCTGTTACATTTCTCATCTCAGACAGCACCAGTGCCTGATGGGCAGGAAGCTACAGTCGTACCAAATATCTTATTTGTGCTTAGCAGAAGAGACCTCTTGAATCCCTTGAGTTGTGGCAAGGAAAGATAGACGTTTCAGGGAATGAGGAATAAAGTGTAGATCTGGGATAAGGGGAATGCGAAGAGACGGTTGAGTAACTGGTGTTCCCCGCCACACAGATGACACCGTTGCAGAGAAAAGTAGATTTTTGAGACGAAGCACCGCTTAATGCTGATTTATTCATTGCTTTGCAGGTTTGAAACTTTTGAAGTGAATAGCTTTGAACAGTTTTGTATCAACTACGCCAACGAAAAGCTCCAGCAGCAGTTCAACTTGGTAAGGTCAGCTTGGAAACGTTCCCATGAAGCTGAGCAGGAGATGCATCAAGGCGGGATTATTGTATGTCTGGCTTCTGCTTAGTGGCACTTGCCTGCAGCTTGGCCAGATCACACGGCCACCATGAATGTAGTCCTTGAGATACCATCTCTCCCAGGCAATAATTGTGCATTGCAATTGCACAAAATATTCATATCAAGTTGAAAATGCTGCTTTGCTGATTTATAAGCTTGATGCTGGAAGCAGGAGTGCGAGTGGTTTTTTGCAAAGGTCCATGGATAGTTTTGAATAAGCAGAGAGTTTGCCAAGTGTATTTTTTGGTGTAGTTTCAATCCTAAACTGAGCTAAACATGGACGGTCTTGTGCAGAGTCCTGACTTCCAGTGCTGAGACAAAGCATGGGTGGAAACCTGCCTGTTAGGTGTGACTTAAACTTCTGCAGACAAAACTCTGTATTAAATGGCAGGATTGGACACATTCCTCATTTTTTCAGTTGGATACACCTCACCAAAAAAATTAGCTTCTTGTATTTTATTAGATGCAAGTGCTTACCTGCACTGGAAAAGAAACCAGTAAGGGGTTGTCTTCTGTTTTTGTTGTAAGCAGGGAAAAAATTAGTTTCAGAGTATGAGAGGGAAAAAAACTTGTTAAGTTTTAGCAGCTAAGTACTGCAGAGTAGTTTGCCACTGTGAAGTGATATCATATGCGTCGACATGAACGTTTGCAGTGTATCTAATGCATCAGATTGCTGCTGCTAAAAATGAAAAGTAAATTATGGATTGTATTTGCACTGTTCATATCTTACTTAGTATGTCCAGCTATCACTTCTGAAGCTTATAAATTCAAACTCTGAGATGACATGTTTGAAGAGATTTTAAAAAGCTATCTTTGAAGAAAAAAGTGCATTTGAAAAATCATTTTTTAATATGCTTAGAGTATCTCAGAAATAGCCAGAGACAATTTATCTGCTTGGGCAGAGGTCTGAGATATATAAGCCGTGCAAAGATTATATATATTTTTTTAATGTTTTAATTTTTATAAAATAAGAATCTGCACTAGAAACGTTCCTGAGTCAGTTAGATACTGCTGCTGATATCTCTTCTAGGACAATGGGTGCTCTTTGTGAAGCTCTGCTTGGCTCTTGGCTTGTGAACCTGCTGCAGGTCACTAGTTTAATCAGCAGAGCACCAAAGGAGAGGAGGGATTTTTCTCAGCCCAAGGGAGATGTTTGTCATTGCTGTTCCAATATGTGTCTCCCACCTAAATGTAGTGACAGCTTTGGTCGTTTTCTAGTGAAAGTCACTTAAAGCCATTTTTTTTTCCTTCTCCACGGTTTCCTAGTGCAATGCTTTTATTTTTCTTGCCAGAAGCTAGATTGTGTAAATGGCAGAGCCTGTACGAAGCTGTACTTGAGGGCACCTAAAGCTTCTCTGGCTTCTGGATGGGCTGAGGGAAAACTCTCCTCCAGTGGAGCCAAGTGGGTGAATGGAGAAGGGGCTGGTGCTGTGCTGGCTGGGGTCACGATCAGTAACTCTGCTGTTTTTCCAATCTCAGCACGTGTTTAAGCTGGAACAAGAAGAGTACATGAAGGAGGGCATCCCTTGGACTCTCATAGACTTCTGCGATAACCAGCCCTGCATAGACCTTATAGAGGCAAAGCTTGGTATCTTGGACCTCCTGGATGAAGAGTGCAAGGTAAAGAGGACCACTCACCTTTTCACTGGCATTTTAATTTATTTTTTTTTTAAAGGCTAAAGAATGGGCTTTAACCTGTGGTAGCTTGCAAGAGAGTAGGCATCTCCTTTCACTTGTACTGCTGGGGTGCTCATGGCTAGGATAGACTGTGGCATTTCCTTTGCCTTAGGACCATTCAGAATCTCCTTGGCAGATGCTGGTTACCAACTTGGATACCTGCTCTCACGATGTATTGTCACAGCCCGTGTTTCTGTCCTGACTGCACATAGTGATAGTCATTGCTTGCAACGTTTGATTCCACCAGTGTTATCCAGGAGCTGGAATTCCTCCCTGTCTCAAGCCTTATTTGTCCCAGGGGAAACCTGGTTCCTCTTGCAGTAGCTGTTTGGGGTAAAGTCGACTGCATTTAGTGCACAGACTTTAGATACTGGAATTTGTGCTTCAGTGACACGTGGCGTATAGAAAAAAAGGTGTCTCGGAGGGTCTCCTGTTAGGGGTTAACTTTGCAGCGTCAAGGGACATCAGCCACCTAAGGATGATTTGGTGAAGTCAATGCCAAGCTCTGACTGACTTCAGGCAGCCTGGATTTACGTGGGTTTTGTGGAAGACTGAAATTGCGTGTCCCTTCTGCTCCTTAGAGATAGAGAAGCAGGAGCCAGTGATGACGTATAGAAGCATCTGCAGTTGTGTAGGCTTCTTGTTTAGCCATTGCTTCCGTGTTCTTCTGTTGGGGTTGGCAATTGTGTCTTCCCTCAGCTTTTCTGAGTTTGTGGTTTGTGGTTGGTTGATCTGGTTGGTTTGGTATTTTTAAACCAAGCTTGTAGTGTTGGTGGAGTAGTTTGTAGTAGTATCTTTTACCTTGTGCCTCTCATAACAGCCTAAATTAGATCTTGCTTAAACGTTGAGCACAAATGCCAGAACAGCAACGCTTCATGAGAATATAGAAGAAAGGTTGGACTCCTTCTTCACTCCTTGTTCAGTCACGAATTGTCAAATGTATCTGTGAACAAGAAATGTGAGATGGGAGATTTTCTTGGGGAGTTGGGATGCCTGTTTTAAAGGTCTTCAGCATGAAAAATAAGTGGAAGATCCAGAGTCTTTTAGGTATGGTCATCTCAACAGGAGAGATCAATGTGATGCCATGATGAGAAGGGCTTCTACGTTGGGCAGAGCAGCTCAGGTCTTTTCCAGTGTTCTGGTATCTACACAGCAATGATGATGAGAAAATACTGGAGAGTGTGCTATCAGATCAGGGCTATAATAAAATACTGTGGTACTGAGAATAAAGAAACATGAGTGCTTCACATGAGTGGTTGTGATAGTCAGTGGGAGGGTTTTCAGACCTTTTGGCAGAAGAAAACCCTAGCATGCAATAGCTAGATGTTGAAGTTAGATTCAATCATGTAGTAATCCTTTTTAATGCTGAGAACAGCCTATTGGAAGGGGGTGATAGCAGCCTTGCTGCTGGATGTGGCTGCCTTGTGGAGCCTCAGACTGGTTTTGCTATGGTGTGATCAACGAGTTGTCTTTGGGAAGAGTTTCCATCAAGACTTGGATATATTCTGTGCCCTGCAATGTCTTACTAATAGTGGAAGGGCTTTTGAACAAGGGCAGGGAAGGGTGAGGCAAGGGGTGGTGAGAGAACTGAAGCAGGGAAGGGGCTCCTCACCAGGGTAGCCAAGGTGATGAGAAGGGCACAACAAATTCTTGTTGGCTCTGTGGGATCCATGGGTAGGGGACAGATCCAGTGGCCCAAGGGCGGGAGTGTCACGTTGCATCAGAGGGAAAGGTTTTGCATCCATTATTTAGACTAGTGTCCCTGTTGGGATTTCAGGAGATGTATGACCTGTCCTTGTCTGGGAGGGAGGTCACCTGTCAAGTGGCTGCTCTCCTCTAAGTGACAGGGCTGCCTTCCCAGGCACGACAGGACTGTCCCAACCTGCACAACCCACAAGCTGAGCCCTTGTCTGGGGTACAGACACTCTGGCTATCACTTTGCTGGAGTTGGGGCTTTGCCCTGTTCAGATCCAGTCTCAGGAAGACTCCTTAAAAATGAGAACAAATTAAAGTTAATTTGATGTTCTTAAAAATAGCATCTTAGCCAGTGCTGGCTCAGAAGGAGGTCAGATTAATTGCTTGATGTTCAGCACCATTTCATTTGGTCTCTGCACTATTAAGCCTGGTAAATCCTTCAGGCTTGAACTGGCTCTGGGGTGTTGTGAAGACCATAAGGAAAGTTTCCCTCGTGCCTTATTGACTGGTAACGCCCTTTGCGCGTCTCCGAAGCACCTGGTGCTGGTTGCTGCTGCTGACATTGCATTAGATGGAGCAACTCCTGTGCACCAGCAGTAATTTGGGCAGCTTTGCTGTAGATCTGCCTGGTCCTCTTTTTTTTTTTTTTTCATCCACACTACTGCTTTTTTCATCCGTACTTCTTTTTTTTTTGACCAAAATAACGAAACACAAGGTCTGCTCCCCCTCCGCATCAAATGCTGATTTTCTGAGTATTTACCTGTCAGTGGGGAATGCTTATTACGGGCCCTATAATAGGCTCTTTTGTAACAACCTGCAAGCGTTCTCCAGCTTTATGAAAATTTCAGCGAAGCCTGTTGACTGAAAACACAAGTTTATGGATGAAAACCTTCACCCCCCGCATCACCAGCAGCAGAGTTTCACCTCTCGGGGAGAGCCGGCCGCGAGACCACCATAGGGTAATTGCGAGTCATCTCGCTAGCACGTACATCAGTGGATAAATATACTCCTGGAATGAAATGGTGTCGAGGGGAGGTCTTGGTGACATAATGAAACATCAGCGCAAATGCGGAGGGTTTGTCGCTAGTGTTCTCGCTTCACGGTGTGGATTTTGTTTTCCATCTTTAACATGAGGCTGGGGAAGGAGGTGGCTGGGTATAGAGTGAAGCAGTCGTAGACCTTCGGTGTGTGATGAGAGTCTGGTTACCCTTTAGAGAAGAAAGGGACCAGACAGGGTTGAAATGGGAATCGGCAATGAAAGAGAGGTCTCTCAAATTGAACTTCGGGTTTTAAGGACTGAACTTGTCTCGTGAAAGCAAATGAGACAAAAAAAGCTCTGAAAAAAAAGAGTACTTTAGAATACGTTTGGATTTGTGAGTTTTTAAACAGCTTTGAACTCCTAGAAGTTGGAAGCTGTTGTACAACTTTTTTAAGGTTGGAGAGGGCTTCTGAAGGTCATTTGGTCCAACCTCCAGTTATGTCCCTGGTCTGCCCAGGAAGCCTTATTATCTCCATGGGACTGTGACTTAGTGCCCTCTGCTAAGTGACCCTGGAGTCTTCAAAGAGCCTATTCTCCATTTCCTGCACTGGAGTGTCACCTGCTTGGATCTGAAGGTTTTAGGACCTATCGGTTTTGCTTTGGCCTAGAAAGATGCTGGAGGAACAGCAGTAGTTCATGTCCCATGCACAGAAATGTCCTTAGCCAGAAACCAAGGCCACCGCAACAGGTGCAACATTGAAGTGCTCTAGCACAAACTGGTGAGCCTGAAGAGGAGGAGAAGGGGAGTAGAGCATCCAGGAGAACCTCCTTGACGCTGAGCTGTGAAGTAGGGCCAATGGTGGTGGTGGTAAATAATTTGGGATAAGAGCAGACCCCTTGAGAAGTACAAGGAGATCAATGTGGAACCCATCAGAAGAGGCAGGCATTAAGGAGGGAGGTGATCTTCTGAAAATCCAGTTGTGGGAAGTTGAGAGGGCATGGGGAAGATTGCTTGGGTGTCTGAGATGGCTTTAGGATATGGTTGGCCTTATTGTGGAGGAGAATGACTTTGATGGAGGGACAGCAGACTTCCTAGGAGGACTTTGAAGGCTTTGAGGTTGGAGAGAACACAAGAAGAGCAACTGCAGTGCTTTGCAGAGGAGGAGCCAGTCAGGGTTGATTTTTCAAGAGACTTGTTCTCAGGGGAAATTGAAAACTTTCTAAGAAATGCAGCCAAGTCTCTGCATCAAAGCTGGATGAGATGTCCTGGTTTTCAGGCTGAAAATGCTCGCTCTGAGAGTGCCTCGTGTCTTCCATACGTTTCCCATTCCCTTCGTGTGTCATTCAGGGGTACACTCTGAAGTTGCTGCAGATGTCCAGGTTTCCCTGTAAGGTGTGCTGCTTCTTGGCTGCTTTCTTGCTTTTGCCTATGCTGTTGGGATGGGAGTGGGAATGGAAAAACTAATGAAAAAAATTTTCTATTAGCAAGAAACAGATCTTAAAAGGGTTTGATCAAGAGCAGGCCAGTTGGAAGGGTTGACGTGTCAATCACAGCATTAGCCTCCAAGATTTATTATGGACCTGTGATGGTTTGATGTGGGAGGGTTCTGGTGGCAGGAGAGGGGATTTGCTCCCTGTGACTTCCCTGGTTTTGGAACTGGGTCAGACCCAGTTCTGGCCACCAGATCGGACTCCCATCCCCCTCGGGGTTGAGCCAATTGACATCTCTGTGAATTGCCCTATTTAAGCTGGGACAAAGGAACCAGAAAAGGTGCTTTGCCCCCGGGATGAGGAGAGAAGGGAGGAGGGCACTGCCCCCACTCCCTGGCCCCTGGCCATGGACTGCCCGCGCCAGGCTGGGGCCACCCGCCGAGGATGGCGGC